AATAAATTCTTGTGAACATTCTTAAGTATTTGTTTTTAGCTGACGACACGCGCGCGCTTTGCATTTTCGCATAGTTGTTGTTGCTATTTTTAATTGCTTATCAATGTTCACACAGACACACAAACACACAAATAATGGCTGATAAGCGAAAAATGAGTGAGAGGCGAGAGAGAGAGGGAGGGAGAGAGAGAGAGTGTGAAGAGACTAGCAGCAAAATCTACTCAAGTTAAAGGGGCAGCCGCAGCGAATTCGCTCTTTAAAATCACTTTAAATTCAATTTGCATGGCCAGCATATCACACGAAGCGAAACGGAGCAACAGTAAAGTGGTGTGCGGCGGTGTGGTGTGGTGGAGGGGAAATACGCCATATGGTAGATATGTTTGCATGTACGTGTGTGTGTGTGTGTGTTGTATGATTGCGACTCTAGGTTAGAGGTAGGTTGGTTGGGCTAAGCTTGTATCGGATTGGGTGTGGGGTGTTCTCGCTCTGTTCTCGCCTCGGCGGCCTCCGCTTCAAATGAAGTTGTCTGTGACGTACGCCGTCTCCTGCGGCTCGATGCCGACCCCTGCAGCGCACCAACGAATGCGCGTCGTCGTCGTCGTCGTCCTACATTTGTGACTTTACATTGAGCCCCTCCCCCGCCTCCCTCTACCGTTATAACGTCATTTGCCTTCGCTTCCATTTCTACGTTGCAGACGCGACACGCCGCGCTGTGCTTGTTYCCCCCTTTTTCTCTTATTTTGTGTGTGTGTGCTTTTTTTTTCTCCTTGCTTTTTGCACTTGTCGTTCGATTGTGTGACATTTTTTATTTAACATTTTTAGACTGCGTTGCCTGCCGCCGCTTGTGCTCCACTTGTGCATTGCATATACCCTGTACTCATTAAAAATGGACAACAGAAAAAAAAAAAAAAAAAAAAAAAAAGGTGTATAATTAAGTTGTGCAAGTGTGCGTATATATGCATTGCATATATTTGTATGTGAGTGTGTGTGTGTGTAGGGACAAGGCAGGCCCAGGCAGAGATGGAGATGTCTACATATGTGTGTGTATGTATGTGTGTGTATATACATACATACAGTGTTTTCCTATAAAGAAAAAGCTTTTTTTAAATCATCGATGGGGTATCTGCTAGTCGCGAACAATGAAAGACTGGAACGTTGTGTGTAAGGATCACATCGAAGGCAAGCCAAGGCAAATGATGGATAATTTGTAAATACACAAGTTAATAGCCTTGAACTCGAAATCATAATCAAAAGAGCAGAACGCACAATATGATGTGTGTGGAGGGGAGGGGGGGCGGTGGTGGGTGCAAAGGGCGGGGCAAACAGGCACACGCCATGCCACGCAGGTGAAGCGCTTAATATGCCCCAATTTTCCTATGAATTGTTTGCGTGTATGTATGTGTATGTTTATGTATATACAGAGCATTGTCTCCCTTCCCCCAGCACAAACGTACAAATACACAAGAGACAGCGGCATATTTCGCCAGAGACCATCGAGAAAACGTGCGCAAAACGAAAACAGATAAGACAAAAATAAAAGAAAACAAAAACAAAGACAAAAAGAAGCTAACAAGTAGTAAGCAAAGCTTCAGTTTTCCCCTCCCTCTCTTTCTCTTGCTTCGGCAAGTCAGTTTGCTATTGAAGCAGAGTGGACAATACCGTTTGCTTATCGGTCGCATGCCATGCAAACGCACACAGGCAAACATATACACGCGCGCATACTTGAGTACACACACAAGCACACACACACACGCACACGGACACAGCGTGCTTACAAGTGATTGAGCGCGAGCGCGCTCCCCTTCCTCCCTCTCTCTCTTTCTCTCTCACTCACTGTGGCCGCTGCTTCTTTTGTAGCTACTCAATGTCAACGCGATGGCATCCCAAAAACATTGATAAAAGCTTTATTACTATTAATTGCTGTCAGAGAAGAACTCGAACGCGCAATCGAGCGTAAGCTCCAAGTGAAGCGCTTTGATGTCGTCACACTGAAGTGAAAAGCAAAGCTTTGTCCGTACGATCCGCTCGCAGCTTGCCAAGTGTAATTTGGCTTGCTTTGATTTATTCAAAAAAAAAAAAAAAAAAAAAAAAGTAAATAAATTTTAAAGCTTCTTTTGGGAAGCTGGCTGAACAGCAATGCGACCGACCGTGGGTATGGGCTCTCTCGGTTTCGTCCTCTCCCGCTCTTCGCACGCTCTCTCCCACTCTCCTTCACTCTCTTGCAGATGAATATTTTATGTAATATGATGGATAAAGCACTTGAGCATGACAGCAGAGCATAATACGTCGCGCCCCCCGCCAACTGTTTGCTGTTGGCAACTTTTATTTTGGGGTCACTTGTGCAATGAATGCTGGCGCTGGCGCTGGCGCTAGCGCTGCAGTCGCTGTTGCTGTTGCTGTTGCTGCCATTGCCGCTGCATTTAACATGCTTTGACTGCGACCCTCCGCTGTGCTCTGCTCTCTGCTTTTGGCAACTTATTTTTGGTCAGTGAGCCGCTGCTTTTTGCTGCTTACCCTTTTGCCTGCTGCTTCGCTGTCGTTGCTCCCATTTCGTGGCCCCCGTTCTCTACCTTTGCTTCTTGGCCCAAGCAACATTTCAAGTTAACGGTGCTTCGCGCACAGCACATTCAACAGGCAATAATAGCAACAACAACTAAACTAATATACTTTACTCTTTGTTGTTGTTGTTGCTGTTGTTGTTTTCAACTGCTGTACTTCCTAACCCCTCGCTCTCTTTGACTCTCTATGTTACGTTGCGCCGTTATTGTTGTTGTTGTTGTTGGCGCTGCTGCTGCTGCTTCTGTTGTTGTACGCTTTCTGGTTTTGGTTTCTATAAAGCTCTGGAGCGAGCGATTTGTTAACGCTGCTTCTTTAACGTTTCGTTGTATTATTTTTCTGTGTTGTCGTTTTGTGTTTTTTTAATACCCTTGAAAAATTGATTTGGAAATGTGTGTAACAACGAGGTGGATTGTTGTTAGAGTAAAGTGTGTTTTAGTTGCATTGGATTGGATACAGATATGGATACATATTTTACCGTATATTCACATATGTATGCATACGTATTATACAGCTGTGGTCATAAAAATAGTATTGTGGCGGAGCGTAATAACTTTTACAGAATAACTTACTATATTTCAAAATCGAATATTAAGATTAACCAATCTACATATGTATATATGTACATATATTGCTATTCATTTAGATGTTTATGTTGAGGAGGTTATCACTAAGTTGTGTTGGCCAACAATTTATGGTTAGTCGTACAATTACTTTTATGAATTCAGCTGTATGTCTAGAATACCCTGTAGATTAGTTTTTAGTCAGGTAAAAATGAATGAATAAATATTTAGATATGAAAAATACTCAAAAAATCTTTGACTTATACTTTATATACTTATATGTATGTATATATTGTATCTATATATAATATATATATTTACTGTTAACTCTTATTTCTTTATATGTACATTTGTATACAAGCAATATGCCTCATGCATTTAGTTTACAGGGTATTTTTGCGTAGCACACTTTGTCTTCATACGGATTCCTACATACTTTCGCTTTCATTTTTTTTTTCGCGCGCGCCTGCACCTCTGCGCCTACCCGCGCTCACACACTTGCCTGCCCTCTCGCTCTGTCTCCCTCTCTCTCTTTGCCTTGCACCTTGCCCATGCCATTCTTGTCCGTTATTGAGTGCGTGTGTGTATGCGTTTGTTTTTGTTTCTGTATTTGTATTTGTTGCTCTTTTCTGCTTTAATAGTGAGCATTGACATGCTCAGCTGCGCATTTTAATGCGTCGCTGTTGCTTTGCCACTCTTCTGCTGCTGCTGTTGCTGCTGTTGCTTCTTCTTCTTCGTTTTTTTGGTGGCTTTGTCTTCTTCTAACTTTGCTGCCTTAATTCACATTTGTATTTGTTGTAGTTTTGGTTGTTATTGTTGCTTCTTTCAAACGCTTTGGCATATTGGCTAAACTGCGCTACGCAAGGTGGGCTATTTGTGGTGTGGGGCAGCGCAGAGGGGCGTGTCGGTCGCTCAGTCAGTCTGTCGCTTGCTTTTATTGAAAGAGAAATTAGCTGAAATTTACTTCGCTGCCGGCCGCTGTCCGCTGTTCGCTGTCCGCCAGCCGGCAGCTTTTGCGTTTGCGTTAGCCCGTTTTAACTGGCTCCAAGCGGCGCACAGTTGGCCCAGTTAATTAATGTGCGACCCACGGACCAGCATACTGGCCTGCAAAGCTGACATCGATAATACACGCTGACACGTTTGCCTCGATTCCAGTTGCTGGGGTGGGAGTGGGGGACTGGGGACAGTTTATGGCGATGACGGCGGCGGGTGTGTAGAATATGCGAACATTGGGGGGGTTTCTTACTTAATTTTTGGGCGTTGCGAGAGCTTTTGAAATTAACTAATGATGAGTCATTTGATATGATAGCACAGCAAGTGTTTGCATCACAAGTTATCGATAATATTTGCGAAGCGTGCTAAATGCTGTGTCATAGATAAATAACTGGGTGGGGTGCCATAGATAAGTAACTGTAGATAAATAACGGTAACTGTTGCTGTTGCTGCATTATCATGATCGATAACATCAATATTTATGTTTGTATCATAAACAATATATATGATCGATAAATTGGCTATATGTATATAGTGATACAATCTATTGGCTATTCAAGTTATCGATGCTTGTTATCGTTGTACGTACTTGTGTATAGATAATTAGATAATAATCACTATCGATAGCATTAATATTTATGAATGCATATGTGCAATTTAATGGCAAAGCTATCGATGCTTGTTATCGTTGGCTAAATACGCACTAACACACACACATACACACATGGATGTGCGTTTGTGCTCGTCTGATTGTCGCACAGGTTTTTCTCGTATTTACCTTTTATACCGTTTTGCCAATGTCTTTTCACAAAAAAAAAAAAAAAAAAAAAAAAAACTCTACTAACTTTCCCTTACCACTTTCTCTCTCTGTCTCTTTCTGACTTATAGAACCGATAACAACAGCAGCACGGAATTGGCGCGTGAGAACCTCTTCCAGCCCAACATGGACGATGCCAAGCCAATGAACAACAACAGCAACAACAACAACAGCATCACAAACAACAACAACAACAATAAGCCTTACGGTGATGTTAGCGGCGCACGCACCATTTGCTCCATTGAGAATCATCAGTCGTCGCAGTTGCTGCGTCATGGTGCCACGCCCCCAGCTACTAATAGCAACACAATGTCCTCTTCCAATTCCACCTCCGCCTCCGCTTCCGCCTCATCCTCCTCCTCCTCCTCATCGTCCTCGATTGTGGCCGCTGCCGCCGCTGCTGCTGCGGCCGCACGCAAGCGCCATCTATCGAACAGCAATCTGGTGAACGATCTGGAGATACTCGACCGCGAGCTGAGCGCCATCAATGCGCCAATGCCGCTAATAGATCCAGAGATAACCCAGGGCGCCGAGCAGTTGGAGCGGGCAGCGCTGTCGGCGTCGCGGAAGCGCATGCGCAGCAACAGCGAGGACGAGAGCGATCGGCTGGTGCGCGAGGCGCTCTCACAGTTCTATATACCGCCACAGCGGCTCATCTCGGCCATTGAGGACTGTCCGTTGGATGTTGTGGGGCTCGGCGCCGGCGTCGGCAGCAACAGCGACCAAATTGGCATCGGCAGCAACAATCACAAGCGCGTCAAGCTGAGCACCAGCAGCTGTGGCGGCTGTGGTGGCGTCAGTGGCAGTGGTGCTGTCGTTGGTGGTGGTGGTGGTGGTTGTGGTCCGGCCGACCACATTGAGCTGGTCAACTTCGATATGAATCAGAATCAAAAGGACTTCGAGGTCATCATGGACGCACTGCGTCTCGGCACGCCCACACAGCCGAGCAGCGGCAGCGACTCGTGCGGCCAGGCGGCCATGATGAGCGAATCGGCGAGCGTGTTTCATAATCTGGTTGTCACCTCGCTGGAGACATGAAAGTATCAGTAAGGGATGCTGGATAGACCCCAACCAACCAACCAACCAACCAACCAACAACAACAAAAGCAAAAGCAGAAGCAAGAGCCAACGCAAAAGCAAAAGCAAAAACAAAAACAAAATGAAACATTTTTACAATTAGACAAGACAAAGAGCAAAGAGTTTTTTTTAGGCTTAATATTTAGCATTAGTTATAAGCTAAGATCTAAGCATTACCTACTAAGCTAGCAACTAAGACCCAATTTACCGTTAGGCAGCGCTAGAGAGCAAGAACAAGAGAAGGAAAATCTTCGCATAGATTGTAATTGATAACTGAATTTTATGTTTTTGCTTATATTTGCGTTTCGTTTCGGGCAGCTGCAAGTCGGTGTTGCAATTACGACTTGGCCTACAAGATCAACAAGATGAACAACAACAATACGAAGAAGAAGAAGAAATAGAAACATGGAAAAACACAAATAATTGTCTCGCAATTTGTACAAAACTTTTGTTTCAATAACATTTTGTGTGGAAACACATAACAAAATCAAAGAATTTGTAGTCAGTCAAAAACAAGAAAAAAAAAGAAAATACAAAAAAAAAAAACTAAATAAAAAACAAAAATTACTTTGTATATCAAATCTTCAAGTAGCCGAGTGATATACACACATACATAATTTATATATATACTTACATACAAATGTAAATGATGACAGTTAGGAGAGGGAGAGAGAGAGAAAGAGAGAGAGAGATAGAGATAGAGTGATGAAAAGCTCTAGGCTAGGGTAAGGCGTCAGTCATTTTTTTTTAACTAATTTTTTTTTTAAACATCCTATAAAAAGAAGTAAAAACTACAAAAAATTCCTTAAGTACAATTGTGCCAGCTCCTAAAAAAAAGGGCTAAAAAAGAATACAAAAAATACTTGAATATTACGATGCGATGCAAAGGCTCAGTTCACATTCCAGAAAAAAAAACCTGAAAAAAAAAAAAACAATAATAATTTTAATAATGCTAATAATACTCGCCTGAGCCCTTAATCAAATCCTGCATGAATTACAAGTTCCGCCCAAATGGTTCCAAAAAAGGCACAAAATCCCAATTCAGTTTCATTACAAGAAAAAAAAGAACAACTAGTTCCTGCCGCTTTACCCAGGCAACAATTTTCATAGTTTTTTTTTATCGCGCTTTGTTTAAAAACCAAAAAGAAAAAAGAAAAGAAAATATAGTGAAAAACAAATCAAATAATATACAAATTCCGTTCTCCTAGTCACAGTAAAAGAAATAGAAGAGCGAAACGAAGAGAATGGAAAAACTAAAGAAAGAAACGAAATTTTTGCTACAGTCTTATGTGCCCGCCCGCACGCCACGAAGTATTTAATAAACAAAAAAAAAAAAAATCCCAAAATTATGTTTGAAATTAAACTCAAAATAAACCAAAATTCCAAATAGCCAGTGATTAAAATAAAAATAAAAAAAAAATAGTTCATAAATATTAACTGAAAGCTGGTCACACTGTTCGAGTGGCGCAGGGCGAGCTTAGCGTAGATAACGGTTTCATTTACCTTTTCATTTATTTTGTTTTTGGTATTTTTCTTTAATAGTTTTCGCCACATTTCCTTGTGTTCAATCGAAAGCAACAACAACAGCAAAAAACAAAAGCAAAAAGCGAAAGCAAAACGCAAAACTCAGTGCACAACAGACAAAAGAAAAGTTGAAACTTGGATTATTAAATAGCAATTTAAAAGAATATATACACAAAAAAGTGCAATTAGAATTTTTATTAAAATATTGACGCAACAAAGCAACAAAAACAAACAAACCAACAAAAGTGCATTCAAAACAAGCAAGAAAAAGTATAAGTATTGTAACATTTTTTAAACAGCAATTGGGCAAAAACAAAACAACAAACAAACAAAAAATAACAACAAAAAGAATCAATTTTTTTCTTCGAAAAAATAAAAATGGCTGTGATAGAAATTTAAGTTTTTTGCTTAAGAGTTAAACGAAAATAAGAATGAAAAGAAAAAAACAAAAAAATTACAAACACACAAAACATGATCCATGTGCATAACACACACACATATATATATTAATAGAGAGAGAGAGGGAAAGCGACATATATGCATATGTACTTGCATATAATTATGAATATTAAGGAAGAGAGCATTTAGTATTAGTGTTGCGTTTTCGAAGAGTTGCCTTTGTGAGCGGCTCAGCACTTGGCTGAGCGCCAGCTTAAGTGAGAGAGAGCGAGCGAGCGTCTTATGCTCTCTCTTAAGCTCTTGCATTTTGCAACTTTCGCTCGCAGCTTTCATTGATTTTATTACGCATTTTCTCTCGTACAACGTAAGCTTTCGTTTCTCTTTTATTTTTTGTTGCAGCGCCAAAAAGAAAACAAAAACAAAAACAAAACAAAAAAAA